AAATAATTAATTTTATATATTAAGTAATACAAAAAAAATATATATAAATAATCAAAAATATTAATATATATTAATATATTTATGTTTAAAACAAAAAAAAAGAACAATAGTATTTAAATGATTGTTGGAAATTTAATTTTAGTAGTTTTACTTGGTCAAAATTTGAAATAAAAGCAAATTAAATATATCCATCTTAAAGATCAAATCATACAGCATGTTATGTTAAATAATAAAATACGTAAAATAAATAATAAAGAGTATGTATTTTTTTTAAAAAAAAAAAAAAGATAAAGCGTTATAATATATGGAGGTGGTGGAGCAAATAAAAAAAGACTTAATGATATGTATAGTTTTGATGTAAAATAAGACATATGGAAAATTATAAGTGTAAATGATGAAAATTAATTACTTTTAGAAAGAACATATCATACTGCGAATATTTACTTAGGGGAATATTTAATTATATTTGGAGGAGAAAATATAAGCGATTTAGGAGATTTAGAAATCATTTAATTTAACCTTAAAAAAAGTATAGGAAAAACGTAATTTAATATATAAAGTTTTATATTAATTTTTTTTTTTAAAAAAAATAAATAAATAAATAAAACACAATTATATAAAAATATAATTTTGATTATAAATTAAAATATATATATATATATATATATATATATATATATATATATATATATTATTTATATAAAAAATAAAAGACTAACAATTCCGAATTTTGAAATTTAACCATTAAAAAGAAGGTTTCATTCTGCTCAAATTTTAAACTAATCTTTATTTATTTTTGGAGGTTGTTAAGCTTAATATATATGTTTAAAGTTAATTTTTTTTTTAAAAAAAAAAATATATATACATATATATATATATATAAAATAAATTAATATTATTATTATAAAAAATATTAAGTGATATATGGTAATTAAATATAGGTGATTTTTTAAATTAAAAAAAAACTTTATAATGGAAATAAATAATACATAATGGAGAAATATTCAAAGCAAGATGGGGATTATGTTCAGTAGTAAATGATAATAATATATATATATTTGGGGGAAGAAACATTAAAGATGCGGGTGAAACAATTACTTTTGATGAACAAAAGCTATTTGAAAAAATAGATGATAATTTTCCAAAACCGCGTAGAAAAACAGCCGCTGTATGTTTAGGCTCTACAATAATAACATTTGGAGGTTTTGATGGAAATTATTATAACGATATGCATTTTTTAGATACTTATTAAATAAAACTAAAAAATATAAAAGTGAATTATTAAGATTTAATTTATTATCAAAATATAAATAATATTATGAATTATAATATGTTATATGGTGGAGATTTAACTTTGGAATTTGACGATTTTTAAGTTTCTGTTTCAAAAGTAATCTTAATATAATCTATGAATGAAAAAGGAAATCAAACTTTTTTAGAAAATGTATAATATAATACATTTATATTTAATTCAATTAATATATAAAAAAGATAATGAAATAAAATATAATAAAAATTAAAAATATTACAGTTACTAAAGATTTTTTAATAAATACATTAATTAAATATTTTTATTTTTAAAGACCAGATTTTTCATTTATAAAAACATAAAAAGATTAATAAATATTAATAGATATTTCAAATAAGATACATTTAAAAACTTTTATTTAATTTCTTACTAATAATCATATTGATTTTTAGTATTATATAAACTTTAAAATTAACTAATTGTTTAAAAATTATTGCGGTAATCTATTATTTAATGAAAATAAAGAAAATGGAAATTTTATATCTTAATATTTTCCTGATTTAAAGGTTTTATGTGATAATTAAATAATAAATGTAAATAAAAATATCTTATGTGCATCTTCTGAGTATTTTAAGAATTTATTTTATTGTATTTAAAATAATGAAGAAATTATTTAATTAAATAATGTACCAATAAATATATTCAAAATAATACTTATTTTTATTTATTTCCCATATTAACAAAATAAAATAATAAAAAAAATTAAAAAAATATTAAATCTGGATAAATTAATATAGTTACTAGAATACTCTTAATATTTATAATTAAAAACAATGATATAAGTAAATATATATATATAATAATATATATATATATATATATATATATTTATATTTATTTTTATATTTAAATATATATATTTATATTTTTGTATATCTATATATTTTTATATTTCTATATATTTATAATTTTTATATTTTTTTATTTTTATATTTTTAGATATGCGAAAAATAGCTTATAGAAATGATTAATTAAAATAATATATAATATTTGTATTATATTTCGTTTTAATATAATTCAGAAATTTTATAACTTGAATGTTCTAATTATCTTGCTTATTAGTATTATTTAATATTTAAATATATATTTATAAATAATTAATAAATAGGTTTCAATATAGATTTAACTTCAATTGTAATGATATTGATTTTTTGAATAAAGATATATTAGAATAAATGTAGTAAAAATATGAAAATACTTAAAAATATATAAGATTTATTAATTAATAATCAATAGTTTTACTTAAAAAATTAAAAAATGAAAATTTAATAATTGAATAATTTATAGATGAATAATAAATTAAGGATATATAGTTAAAGAATATTAATCATTAATAAAAATAAAATTAAATATTGTAATAATATGAATATATTAAATAACAAAAATAACTTAAATTATAATAACAATAATAACCAATTATTTTAAATAATAATAATAAATTTGATGAATAATATGATTAATAAAATAATTATGAATGGGAAATATATTTTAATTAAAGTATTATTAATTCTTTTACTAATTTAATAGAGAATTAAGCTATTATTGAAAAATAAATGGAAGAAAATAATATGTAAGATAAAAAAATAAATTTATAAAATATGGAAGATAAAATATAAGAAGAATTTGATTAAGATTAAATTATTTCTTAATAGAAATGATAACTATTTATTTATAATTATATATGTTTCTTTAATACTTTTATTTAAAAAATTGTATACAAAAACATATATATATATATATATATATAAATATATATATTGCTAATTTAATATATTTATATATATTTTTTATATATTTAATTATTATTATAAATTTAAATAATATTTATATATAATTTTTCATAATAATAAGAAAATAATATAAAAAAAAACTATAATTGATTAATAAATACTATTGTAAAAGTTTAAAAATCCAATAATTAATTTTATTATTACAATATATATAAAAATAATAATATTTTTTTTTAAAAAAAATGTAAAATGTTTATTTATATATATTTTAAATTTACTCAGGACATTAATATATAAGTATAAATAATAAAAAGATATTAAAAAAGCTTATGACAATTTTATAAAAAAATATAATTTAATTATCTGTTAGATTTCTTTATTTAACATTCAATTATTTTATAAAAAAATTCTTAAAACATAATATATATATATATATAATATAATTAAATTTTAAATGATTTTTTTATATAAAGATATATATTTTTTATATTAAATTTATCTTCTTATAGATTATTATTATAATCAATTATAATAATTTATTATATAAATTTGAAATATACTTTTTTATTTTTATTTTATATATTTTAAAATAATTATCTTAATAAGAAATAAATTCATCAAATTAGAAGAAAATTAGAAAATTTTATATATATGATAGTTGGTTTTTTTATTTTATTAATATAATAATATAATAAATATGATTAGAGTAATTCGAGTTTAATATTAATTTATTATTAAAATATATATAACAAATTTTTTAAATTTACAATAGTTTTTTTATACTTTACTGATACTTCCTGCTCCAAAATTATAAACTATTCTATATTATATAAAATAAAAAATAAAATAATATAAAGACAAGAACATATATTTAACAAACATCACAATATAAATAAAAACTAAAAATATGAAAAAATAAATATGTTTAATATTTAATATTATTCTATATATTTTAAAGTTTAATAATATTTGAAAAAATAATAAATCAAGTAAATAAATACATATATATATATATATATATTGTTATTAATTTGTTATAATTAATAATGGTTTTTTTATTATATTGGTTTTATTTCTAAAAATTATATTTTTCTTTATTTAATTAATTTATTTTTCTTATAAAAACTAGTTTTTATTATTAATTTTGATTTTTTTATTTTATATTAGTGTTGATTTTTTATTATTATAATAATATTTTTTTATATTTTTTTATTTTTTTATTTAATAAAATTTATAAGTTATTTAGTTGTTTGTTAAATTTATAATTATTTTCTTTATTATATTTTTGTATAATTTTTTTAGGAATATTTTAATTATAATGTTTTTTTTAATCTTAAATTAAATTAAATTTAAAGGTTAAGTTAATATAATATAAAGAAAAAAATTAAAAAGATTTTATATATAAAATATTATAAAAAAAAATTAAATCAAAAATATAAAAATTAAAAAAAAAAAAACATAAAAAAAAAAATTAAAATAAAAATAATAAAAAAAAAACAAAAAAACAAAAAAACAAATTTCCAAAAAAAAAAAAAATAAGTTAAAAACCAATCCAAAAAATAATAGAAGAACAAACCAAAGACATAAAGCCCTAAGATCTCCAAGAAATAACCTTAGACTTTTAAAAGATATAAAAAATAACCCCCGAATTAAAGAAAACCCTTGAATAATATCCAAATTTATAAACATTAACATTAAACTAATGCGAAATATCATCCCTAGACTATTTTCCTATTCTCACAAATCTCCGAAGACTAGAATTAATAAACAATTAAATAAAAGGGAACTAAATAAAAAACCTTACTCATTTATAAAATCTCTAATCCTTATCTTTAGGAAGTAATTAAATAAATAATTTGAATGATTTAACTCATTTATCGAAATTTCCAAATCTTCAATAACTAGATTTATTAGATAATGAAATAGTCAATGACCAAAAATATAGAGAAACAATATTTAAAATGTTACCTTAATTGCTTATTCTGGATAATTGTGATAGAGAAGGAAATGAAGTTGAATATGATGATGTATATATATAATTATTTATATAATTCAAATATTAATAAAAAAGGAATAAGAAGATGAAGAAGAAGGAGAAAATGAAGAAGAAGAAGATGAAGAAGATGAAGAAGAAAACGAAGAAGAAGAAGATGAAGATGAAGAAGATGAAGATGAAGAAGAAGATGAAGATGAAGAAGAAAATTAAAATGGTTAAAATAATAATGGAGAAGATTAATTATAGTTTGGAGGTTAATTAAAATAGAATGAATTTGGATTTAATGATGATATTTATAATAATTAAGGAAATGGTAAATATGAGGAACTATATGGAGATAATTTTTATAATAATAATGAGTAATATGATGATTTTGAAGAAAAATTTGCTTAGAATAAAAAAACAAACGTTTTTGAAAAAAAAAAAAAAAAAACAATAGTCAAAATATAAAAATAATAAAATTAAAAGAAACATTTATAATTATAAAATTATATTTATTTATTATTGTAATTTAAATTTTTTTTTAAATATTTTTTTTTTTTAAATATATTTATATTTTAACATATTTTGTATTTATCAAATTTATTATTTTAGTTTGATTATTTTATTATATAAAATATTTAGACATATATATAATTTATTTATTAAAATTATTTTTATTTTATATATTAAATTATATTATTTTAGCTTATATATATTTTAATATTAAATTTAACGAAATTTAAAGTAAAATTTTTATTTATAAACTTAATTATTTAATATATATATATATTAAAATATATAAAATATATATATATATATATATATATTATTCTAATTAATATTATATTTAGTTATATTATATCTTATTTTTTTTTAATTTACATATAATATAAATAAGATTAAATAAATTAAATATAATAAAAAAACTAATAATTAATATATTATTATTTT